GACAACAGCAATTTCTCTTCACCAGAATTTCCGTGGCCTGTAGGTCTTGGGGTGCTCAAGGATCTCCGCTGGCTTTCCGGAAAAGCTGCCCAACTCGCATTGTTTTAGACCAAAGCAACGTGCAACCCCCCCTTGCGCGTGTCAGTGCCCGAGAAAAGCGTGGGTCAAAACAAAGGATCCCACGATCTTGTGCTTCAAGTTGTTTTTTCACATCAAGGTGAGGGAATCACCGCTGCAAGCCAGGTTACAAAACTTTGAAATACCCCACAAGCCAGAAACGAAACGCAAAACACAAACCACAAAGCAAAGCCACAAACCATGCGCGGCACACCCCACGGAAGGCGGTGTTCGGCCATCTTTTGCCGCCCGGAAGCCGAGGCTTTTGGAAGCAGTTCGTGCTGGACCTGTGTCAGGTGGAGCCCAATAGCCGCCTGCCAATGCAAGGAGGCCCAGGTGCAAATTGCGTGGTAAGGCTAGGAACCTCAAAGAACCTGAGTTCAAACGTTGGAGATGCAGACTTTGCCGCTTCCAGGTGCCTTGGGCAAGGGAAAGGTTTGGGTGGTCTTTGCGGCGGTTGGTGTTGATGTTTTCAGAGGTTCACCATCATGAGCCATCTTTGCGCCCAGAGGCAAATGGAATGATTGGGTCTAGTCAAACGGCCCACCCCCAGATCCTGAAGCTCTAAGCCGCAAACCGCCCCAAAATCGTTGCTTGCCGCACGCACGTTTCTGGCAGGAGAAGAGGCGGCGTGAGCAAACTCGAGAAGCACGCCTGGTTTCAGCAGGCTCTCTGGTCTAGCCATCACGGATGTGCCTACCATGGACTGGTACTATGTAACACACACAGATATTATACCAATGTATATCTACACAGGTAAAAGTTTCTTTATACACAGTGTGTTTACAGCTCCCCCCCCCTCCGTTTGCTTTTGCAGTCATTGAGCCCCACACAATCTCACTCCGCTATATTGGCTCAAAGGATCCTTCTGATTTCATTCTTAACGCAGCGTGAGTGAAAACCCTTGTGGCGTGCATAATGACCCTACCTTCGTTGAAGTCAAGAAATATCAAAAAGATAATATGAAGGTTGATGATGAAAAAGAAAAGTTATATTATGACACCTACCAACCTGAAGAACTGGAAGAAATAATTAACACACAAAGAAAGATAATTCATTATATGAAAGAACAGAAGATGAAGAAACTACATTCAGTTTTAATCAGTGTTGATGATTTTGCAGACGACCCTAAATTTGTTAGATATAGTAAGTTACTTCATGGACTGGCAACGAGAGGTAGACACGACGCCATTAGTTTTTGTTTAAGCGTTCAAAAATATCGTGTCCTTGCACCAATCATTAGGTTGAATTCAAGTTCGTTGTATATCTTCAAGTTAAAGAATGTATCAGAGTTAATGTCATTCATTGAGGAAAACTCCGCCATCGTTGATAAAGAGCAACTGTTAAATATGTATCATAAAGCGGTAGATGATAAGCCATACTCCTTCTTTTATGTTAATATGAATTCCAAAGATGTTAATAATATGTTTTATGTTAGATTTGAAAAAGCATTAAAAAACAAATATATTATGTTATTTTATGATTTACCATTAGACATTAAAAACCTTGTATTATTTTATAATTTAGGTGATGTTAGATTATTAAAAAGAAATAATAATATTATTAAAAATTATTTTAATAAATTTAAACCAGTGTATAAGTCTTACAAATTAAAGAATACACAATATTTTGAAATTGATAATATCATTATAAAAAATGATTTATCATATATTTTTAACTTAAGTGAGTTAGATAAATTACATCAAAAACATAAACCATTAAAACTATTAATTGAATATGAGATATTTGTTACATCTACCTCATTTACATGTTTGAATCATGTTCGTAATCGTACTTTAACATCAACTAATTTATTCGATATTTATTATTTTCTTAATAAAGACCTTCATGAAACTAAATTAGTGTATAGCCGTAATATGGTTAATTTTATTTCATTACAAGTGAAAAAATAACTATTAAAGTCATCAATGATGAAAGACAAAGTTTTTTTAGTAAATTTCATTCATATGTTTACAATTAATAATATTAATAATGTTTAACATTATTAATTCAGAACAAACTATAACTACACAAATTCAACGCTGGTAATTTATATATTAATTTGTCACATTTTACTTTCTCCAGTTTTTCTAATCTTTCACTCATTTGCTTAATTGCTTTCAACTGTAACTTATCAATATTACTTAAATCTGATTGTTCTACATCAATATCATTGATTCTGTCAATACTTGAAGTTTCAACATTACTATTTGAATTACCCATTATATATTATTATTTAGATTTTTCTTTTTTCAACTCCTTAATTTCTTTTTCTATTTTTCAACTTTATCTATTACTTCCAGTAAAGCTTTATGTAATAATATTGGTACTTTTGTATATTCAATTCCTAAATATTCACGACTGCTATGAACTACATTACTAATTTCTTTTGGAACTGCTTTTAATAAATCATCAGCAATATAACCTATGTGGATTGCATCCTTATCGTCTCTATCTTTTCTTTTGAATTTTTTAGGTTTGAATTTCTTAATCGTACTAATACAATTACTTTTTAGGTAAATCTATATCATATTTTAATCTTACATCAGAATTATCTATTAGACTTCCATTTATAGTTACAGTTCCAGCAGTAATATCAATAGCATCACCTGAAGCATCTTGAATATCATTAACAAATAATGTTTTTGTATTAACAACCGTTACATTTTCGTTAAAAGTTGATGAGGCATTATTTGTAAAACTTTCAGTACTTACTGTTGTTCCAAATGCCTTATCAATAGATAATAAAACTGAAGGTGTAGTTGAACTATCTGAAACTCTAAAAGCTGTATTTGACGTTCTGAATATTACACCAATTGTGGATAAATTAGTACCATCATAATAAGTTGATATTTCACTTGTTCCCATCAATATATCTGTTCCAGTAGTCATTGAAATATTATCCAAAAATGAAACCGTTGTTAAATCAAATGATTGAATGGTATTAGTTGCTAAATATGCATTTTGAACTGCTAAATTAGTATCAATAGTTACCAATGTTCCTCCGTTAGGCGCTATATGATTACTTCTTAATGCTCCATTAGTTTTAATATAAACATCATCAGCAAATAAATTACCCATAAAATCAGCAGTAGCAGTATTAAAAGTCCATCCGCTAGTAATATTAACTGCCCCGACTATGTTAGACTGAACAGCGGGGTCTCCACAAATAAATCTAATTGAAGAATTAGCATCGGTATTTCTCATATCAAAAGATGAAAAAGCACTAACATATCTATATAATTCACAGTTTGTATCAATTGTTAATTTACCATCAGTATCAATATTAACATTATCACAATTAACATCAGCATTCGTACAGATATTACCTAACACATCAATAGGGTTATGAAAATAGTTTTATTCACTAATCCATCACACATCATAAACTGATTAGAAGCATTACTAACATCACCAACACTAATGGCAGCGAAATCATCATGAGACACACATAAACCTTCTATTGCATCGGGCGTGTATCTTCGTATTGAACCATTATTATTAAAATCCAATTATGAACCATTGTTAAGATTTACTGCCTTGTCAGTTCCTATAAAACCAACTACATCAGTAAATATCGATTTTCCGGCACAGTTTAAAACATAACCATTAACACCAACAGCACCTAAACCAAATCTATCTTTTACCCAAACACATCCAACATTAGCGTCTCCGATTTGCGTTTCCCATTGACCTCCTGCGCTACTCATCCACATGCGTCCGTCTCTGTTAGTATTGAACTCTCTATTAAACATTTGAAAAGTCATTTGCAATCCTAAATTAGGCGAAGGTGTAGTGCTAAACTTAGTACGTATTATACTTCCAGTAGTCAACATATTTAAATTACTGTGTAAAGTTGTATTATCACTAAAATTAATAGCACCTGCTACTGATTGAGCGTTAGTGTCTCTTTTATCTAACTTTTGTCCTAATGATGTATCCTGTGAATTATTAGTAGTAATTGTTGAATTAATAGTATTTGTATTTCCTGTTATTAATCCACTTAATCCATCTGACTGTAAAATATATCTAGCATCAGAACCTGCTATACGTAAAATAGACGAACACGAAAATAAACCAGATTCTTGTAAATAACTTAATATTGTAGTATTATGATTTAATATTAATTTATCATTTTGAAAAGTTGAAGAATTATTAATTTCTACGTCTCCAAAACCTCTTTGATTTAAAAACATAGTTGCTCCACTTAAATCTCCATAAACATAACTATCAAGATAATTTTTATACATTTCAATGAAATTATTATAATTTCCAAATTCTGCAATTTTAAACGTTGCAGTAGTTGTTATATTATGAATTAATGTATTATTTAATATTGATGTATTTAACTTATTTGATAATAAATTATTAGTTGTTATTTTATTATAATAATCTGCTTCATTAAATGAACCTCCATATTCTGTAAATCTGTTATGGCTGAAATATGTGAGTTTATTGTGCTATTGAATCCTGTTATTAAATTAGAATTAGAACTAATATTATTAAATTAGTTGTTATAGTAGAAATTATTTATTAAATGTGTATTAGATGAAATATTACGAATATTTGTATTAATTACATTAGAATTAGAACTAATATTATTAAAATTAGTTGTCATAGTAGAATTTAAATTATTTATTAAATTTGTATTTGCTGAAATATTATGTAAGTTTGTATTTGAAGTTATTGTCAGATTACCTATTAAAAATGTATTTGAACTAATATTATTTGATAATACATTGACATTAACTTCCGTCTTATTGTATGATTGAGTTATATCGTAAAAATTAGCGTCAATCTGTGCTTTTGTGTAAGTATCTACTTGGTCTGCTTTGTTGTTGAGTAAACCAATTATATCTGATTGATTAGCGTATATGTTTCTAATGTTTGTCACCCCGCTTGCAGAATTGACTTCACTAATTGCGTGCGCTACAACATTTTCAAGGTTTGTTAAATTTATTGAAGGCATTATATATTAATAGCAGAAAATGATTATTTTTTTTAATATTATCATTTTTACTTATTTTTAATCAAGTATCTGAACTCCGGCATCGCGTATGGATAATATTTGCTCACTCACTAACGTTATATATATATATTGTATCTGGCATATTTGCTGTTACCATATTTCCAATAGGTTTGCAACGAATTAAAAGTTGTTGCCCAGCACGCGTGTTAATTCCAGAATATGAAGAATCCGGAACCTTTTGGAAATCCATAGCAAAGATAAACTTATCAACACGATAAGCAGAATATTCAATTGATAAATGGTGTTGATGGAACAATGGTAAATTTAATTCTTTTCGTAAATAATAGAATGCTTGTGTTAATGAACGGCAAGGATACTCAGGATATAGTTTTGACCCTAATTGAAGTTGAAATTCTTCATCAAGGTCGGAATTGTAGTATCCACTTTCTTGGTAGTTCAAATAATACATAGGATGATAGAAGTTGTTGTATTCTTTCATAACGTGAATACCACCTACTCCGCTTTTACTGAAAGAGATGAACGCGGCAACGAGTTTAGACACTGAACGAACAACAGTAGTGTTAACTGACGACGAACCATCGGGAACTTGATTAGATTGACAAATATAAGTATTATAAGTAATAGGTAATTCTTTCCCATCAAGTAGGTGAGCAACATATTTATTATGAAGGTCGTTG